CTAAGCCGATGAAAGAATCCGGACATGTGGGTAATTGTTTAGCCTACTGCACGTTTGTTGCGTCACTTCGGACGTCAGAAATTAATTTCTTCTTTGCCGGTCGGCCGATGGTTTTGGTGTCTGGAGCAGTTGTCCTGTATTTTCTATATCTCCAGTTGTGCAGCTCCATGCTATCCTTTCTCCTGATCAATTTCCTACAACTACCCTCCTCCAACCTCGTCTCCCCGTCTTTCTTTCGCTCGAACTTCACAAATTCGTTTAATAAATCCTTTCTCCCACCCAAACCCCGGTAAGAAGCCGTTGCAAGTAGTGAAAACGCTCGCCAGTCTGCGTTGCCGTAGCGACGTTTGGAACAGAAAGTTGGGAAGCGCTGGGTTACTGGAAGCGGCGCGAGAAATCCGGGCGTGAGCATCAGTAGAAGGCGGTTGGTATCGGTTGGGAGTTCACGGTGTAGGTGTGAGTAGCTATGGTACACACAGCTTTTCCTGAATCAAATAAACCGCATGTGCATTGTCATACCCTTACTTACGGAGCTGAGCCCTTCTTGAGGAGAAGCCAAATCTGCAGCTACTCAAGAATTTCCTAGAACTCTGTGGAACCCGAAGATTCATTACCGTGTTCACAAGAGCCCTCAGCTGGTCGCTGTTCTGCACCAGATCAATGCAATTCATACCATCCCATCCTATCTCTCTAAGATCCATTTTAATATAGTCCACCCACGTACGTCTTGGTCTTCCAAGTGGGCTCTTTCCTTCTGGTTTTCCCACCAATATCCTATATGCATTTCTCTTCTCCCCATTCGTGCTACATGCCCTGCTCACCTAATCCTCCTTGACTTGATCATTCTAATTATACTTGGAGAAGAGTACAAGTTATGAAGGTCCTCATTATGCAGTTTTCTCCAACCTCCTGTCACTTCATCTCTCGTCGGTCCAAATATTGTCCCCTGTTCTCAAACACCTTGAGTGTGTGTTCCTCCCTTAATGTCAGAGACCAAGGGCCGCTCCATAGCTCAAGCGGTTAGTCGCTGGCCTGCCACTGCGGCATCCCGGGTTCGATCCCGGGTCTGGTCAAGTGGGATTTGTGGTGGACAAAGTGGCAGGTTTTCTCCGAGTACTTCGGTTTCCCCTGCCAATCTTCAGTCCACCAATTGCTCCACAATCACCTTCACCTACATCTGGGGCTGGTACAATAGGCCAGAAGTGACCGCAGCACAAGGGACTTAGTCCCACCCCACTAGCAATAAAAAAGGTCAGAGGATATTTCTTTAAATTCCGTTATAATATTTATTCGAATCTGTGCCAAGTTTTAGGCTTTCTGGCAAAAGTTTTCAATGCATTTACTTGTCCGATTTTACATGCTTGAAATGTAAAAGAATCAAACAGGGATCACCAAGCCCGTAAAGATGAAATTATTTGTATGATCTGAGATTCTCACAGCGGTAAGTATGAAGAGTCCTCTCTGCTGGGATATAACGGCATGTAATCCGCTCACAGTTAACCGACGTTTAGGAGGATCGTGCCTCCTCTGTCTTCAGTTCAGAAGAATTAAACCAAACAAAAACCAGCTTGGGAAACAAGTATGAAGCATAGTTTCTTGCTTGGTTTATTCTTAGACCTTTAAAATGGACGCGATATGATCCACCGAAACGTTGATTGACTTTCGGTCGGTCTGGTAAATTGCTGCTGGGGCTCGCCAGCACAGTCATTCTTGGTTCCGAGTCTTGCGGGACTCGTGATCATATTTTGCTGTATCACGACTCTGGGAGTCTTGCAACTACTCGGCTGAATTCAACGGACTTCACGGCGGTATATCCCAGAAGATAGAACTCTTCACAAATATATTTGATATGGCAGGCTACATGGCCCATGCATCTTTCGTCGTTATAATTGGAGCCATGGCGGGAGCAGAGATCCCCATAAATTCTGTTTACGATGGGAAATGGCCAGGTGCATGATTGACTTGGAGCCTTTGTCCAGGTCTGTGCTAGAAATACTCCGTAATTGCCGCAGGTAGAGAGCACGGGGCAACCAGTGTGTGGCAGTTGGTCGAGCGACCGGCAGCTGTTAGCACGGCGACCGACGCGCGCGTGGGTTTGGTAGGTCTGCCAACCCGTCGTGTCACGGCCATTCCGCTCCGGCACTGCGGGACATGAGGTGTGTGAGCAAAGCACACGGGCCGTGATACGCGTATGTCGTTACTTTCCCTTCTTTCGCCTCTCTTTTCGTCTGTCAGAAGGAAAGAAATCACTAGGAAAACCTAGACATAAAGTAAGTAAAAAGTAATGGTATCCCTGTAACCGGCTGTGGAGGTCCATAGGGTTGTGAGATGTTGAGGCTCCAACATTTTCTAGACAATCGGCTCACAGATGGGAGTAAGGTTGTCAGCCTTACTACGCGCCGTTCGCCCTTTACCCCCAGAAAGATTCCTGGTACTTATTTCTGTTAGAGGCTGAGTCGACCCCAGGGCTGTAGTGCCGCTGGAAGGATTAGGTAAATAAAAAAAAATCCACCTCATCAGGATTCAATCCCGCGACCTTCTGGCCTATAGCATAGTGCCTCAATCAACTACGGTACCGCGTGCCCACAGACCTAGACATAGGTGGATAATATTATAGTGGTTCTTAGATAGGATTAAGTGTGTGGATTGGATTGATTTGGCTCGGGATAGGGACCGATGGAGGGTTCTTGTGAACACGGTAATGAACCTTCGGATTTTATAAAATGTTTGGAAATTCTTGTGCAGCTGAGCGATTCGTGACTTTTCAAGAGGGGCACATCTGCATGGAGTTAATTCTTTTTGTCCGTTCTTCCTGTGTCCAGTTTCTTTCATTGCATTCCTTTCTGTTTTCCTTATATCCGTTCTTCCTCTGCTCGCTGTAGCCTCTTTCTTTCGCCCTTTTGTTCAGTTGTCTTTTTCTCTTCCTTCTTTCCAGCAGTAATGAAAGTAGGATACTTGGAAAAGCAACACGACAGATTATCTTGCTTACTTCCTCTGCTTTTCATTCTTATTTCTTTTGTCTCATTTTTATTCTTTACCTCATTATACAGTCTTCATGTTTTTATCTTTGCCTCTTTATGCAGTCCTTATCGTCCCACATCCATTTTCTATCTTTTTTCCTTCGTTTCTTTCGTCCTTCCATCCTCTCATTGCTGTTCGTTTATGCTCGTTCATTTTTCGTTTTCCCTCCCTCCATCCAGTAGCAGAGAAGGCAAGAAGGCTTGCTGCATATCAACAGCTAGAAATGCATTTCTGCTGTGTCTGGGAACCGGGAAAGCTTAAGCGATATAGCATCTAGGCTACGTACTGTACAACCGAGAAATCGGGGGTCGATTCCGAGTAGAGGCAAGAGATTTGTCTCCTCTCCACAGAGTCCGGACCGTCTTCTCGGCCCACCCAACCTCCTGTCCTCTTCCCTTGGGAGCAAAGGATCCGAGTCATGAATCTCACCTCCATCTGGTGCGGAGGTTAGGAATCCTATAAGCCCCACGTCACCCCCCTAATACGTCTTCATGGTGTAGTGTTTAGTTAAGCACAAGGACAACTTTATCTTTTATTTTATACTGTGTTTTACGCATTCCCGTGCTACTTGCGCAACTTGAATTGAGCGGCTGCTTGGACATGAACTGTGTACGCCGGTGCAGGTTCCTATCTGACGTTCTGGAGTTACTAGGTTCGAATCTGGGCTCGGAACATTTTCTTGTCTTTTACGGTTCTCCCTGCTACTTCAAGTGAATGTCGACACAATACGTATAATTTTATTTATTTATGGTTTATTTAAAGACGCCGTCAATACTGCGAACCCTCGTTATAACGGACCCCCCGACAACCCAGATTGCGGATATAATGGACAGTGCAGTTGTGAAGTTTAGACAAGTTAAGGCACTAGTTAGAAAACGATTTAAAATAAAGAGGAACCTAAATATAACAACCTTTTAAGTAACCGCATTGTGTGTTTCTGTGTTTATTGCGTGAATTGACTGTGCACCCTATGGTGTACTTCCATGAATACGCCTGTACTCGGTTAGAGCCGACATCGTTGATAACGGACCGCAATCCCCCCCTACAAGGCTCGTCACGGTAGCCGTGCGGTCTAAGGCATGTACTGTCTTCGCTCGCTCGGGAGCCGGTATCGTGAGTTCGAATCCCACATAAGGCATGGATGTTTGTATGTGTATGCGTTTATTCTGTGTTTGTGTTGTCTTTTGTTTAGGTAGAGGCCTTGCGACTGGCTGATCACTCGTCCAAGAAGTCCTACCGTCTGTACAATGATAATGAAACTGAAAATCAGAGGCCAGGGCCCAAAGGGGCCGTAGATTCAGAAAAAAAAAACGCACCCTATAAGTTGGTTATAACGAGGGTTTACTGTGTTGGCACTTGCTGTTTAATACATAGTTTTACATTTTCGCTTACGGTTCTGTCAAGAAGGCCTCAGATTCGACAATTCCTACGATACATTAGTAGGCCTGTCCCAAGAAAAGTTAAATTTATGTGAGGGAGCTTTTAGGAAAGCAGAGTTTTGTCTTCCGCTTTCTTTAGGCTGACTTCTTTCATGGCTTACTCATCAACCCTGAGAATGGTGATATGTTCCTCCGAAATGTCGATGAACTTCCATCATTAGCAGATAATGACACAGGCAATGTGGAACTTCACCAGAAAATGTTCAGTGCATATCCCGAATAGCAAGCAGTAACATGCGGGCGGCGAGACATGACCTTCACCCGCCCCCTTGTACGATCACTTCGTGCTTAACAGCTGACGCGCTTGTGTATTTTGGTTCGTTCTCGTAATCCGCGTCAGTAAATTTATAGTGGCTGTAACCGTTACGAGTAATCTATAATGACTTCGCCAAAAATAGTCCATGTTCCATCAACTTAAAAATGTGTAATGAGTAGTTTGTTGAGGAGTGATGTGGGGCAGGGCTGTCCCAGCGCACAGCGGAACTGAAACACACGCAAATGAGCCGACTCTTCCCACTGTCAGTATGTTCTCAATTGTAGGTGGATGCGAGACCTTGTGAAAATAGAGGGACGAGGTCACTAGGCAGAGCTTGTGTCATTTAAACACCGGAAGTACGGGAACTACTGAAGAATATAACGGAGTTGGTAAGAACCTCAGCATTTCGTTTATTATTGGATGTTAGAAAACGTAGAGAAAGCATGAGAAGGGGTTCATTTTGTTATAGCTTTCCAGAAGGTGGTAGTGTTCTTTTGTCTCTCCACTGTCCAAGTGATCTTTCCGTCTCCATAGCCCTGTAAATTCCAGCTGTAATACCGGTAATGCCCACTCAAAGAACTGAAAAACTCAATAATAATGTATATAAAACTCCCTAAGAAAGTTGAGTTGCAGAGAAAATATCCTACCAAATATTTCTTCACTATGTAGTTCAGATAAAATTCCAACAGATGTCGCATGCTGTTAGATGTAGTAGTTTCTGTGTAAGTCGATATTTTCTGTACTAGGCACTTGTAGGGGTTAACTGATGTTTTAGATATTGTCCATCGCCTCTTTTGTGTTTTAACCCGCAACGTTTCGGAAACTGGTTCCATTTCCTTCAATAGGTTGTAGGATACATTAGGAGATTTCACTGAATTGGACCCATAAAAAAGCGAAATATAGATTCTGCATGTGGGATTTGATGTTCTTATGACGGGGAATGTGAAGATTGCGATCTTCTGCCCTGAAGATGGAATCTGCAAGTGCATCTGGATTGTTGGTACTTATCTACCAAACTACATCGCGTCATATCTCAGAAGACATTTACCTTATATTGCGCAGGCCACCATGTTGTTTCGCACCATACAAAATAATTACGTTAGTAAAATTTCATATTTTTGGAAGTCTGTTTCATACAAAATTTCAGCACCCCGAATAAAATGTTTCCAACCCACGGATTAATACTGCCGCCATACCGATATGTTTAATCTAGAAAATTAAAACTTAACAGAGGTGGATGTACCATGGGGATATGATTTTTGTGCCGAAAATTAAGAAACTTCCTGCCTTGTATGGAGCTAGCGAAGTTACTACGTTCTCAGGACACACCACTTGAGCCTGTCCTGAGTCCTGTGTGTACATCCTCACATTTTGATTCCTCAAGATCCGTGTCACCTTTATTCTCCCTTCTTCACAAAGTTATCCTTAGTAGCCATTGTTTTCCACTAAAATGTAATATGCATTTCTCATCTCTCCCATGCGTGCTACGTGCCCTGCATGCATTGATAAGTTATTTTGAATAGTCTTAATGGAACCCAGTGTTTTTTCTTCCTCTCTTCAGACCATGTAATAACCAAAATTATTGAAGTTTATAGATGGATGATAAGACACACCGAACCATCACCAACACCATGTGCCCTGTTATATCTTCATCTCGGTTGATGAAGCACAAGAGATGGGACGCAGTGTGGAATATCTTTAGATGAATGACTCAGTGCTCCATTGTCACTGTCGTTGCGTCGTAATTGGAAAGTTTCTAGATTATATTTGTAGCATACGATTGGAACCAAAATCGCCATCCTCGGAGATCTCGGAGAGCAGTAGTTCACTGCTGGCTTTCCAGCCAGTGTAGTAATGCCTGGCTTCGATCCCCGATTTGACTCATGGCCATGTTTTAATTATATATTATTGGCCTTTACAGGTTAGGACGTGAGGCCTTTGAACAAGAAGAAAGAATGTCTGTAAAAGTGATCGTTACTTCGACCGCACCGTAAAATATGGCCGAATACCATCATCACTGTGCTGAAACACATTATCACTACATTGCGAAACAGAACTACCACTACGCTGTGAAACAATCATCATTACACTGCGAAACAGAACTACCACTACCCTGTGAAACAGTCATCACTACACTACGAAACACAACAATCACTACACTATTAATCAGAGACATCACTGTAGTACGAAACGCAATCATCACTACACTACGAAACACAACAATCACTACACTATTAATGAGAAACATCACTGCAGTACGAAACACAGTCATCACTACACTACGAAACGCAACAATCACTACACTATTAATCAGAAACATCACTGCAGTACGAAACACAGTCATCAATACACTATGAAATAGTCATCCACTCAACTTCTCGGAGATATCGTTGAACACACGACTTTTCCTCCGTAAGGTTGTCAACTACGCTGTGAAACAATCATCACTACACTACGAAACAGAACTACCACTACGCTGTGAAACAATCATCACTACACTACGTAACAGAACTACCACTACGCTGTGAAACAATCATCATTACACTGCGAAACAGAACTACCACTGCGCTGTGAAACAGTCATCACTACACTACGAAACAGAACTACCACTACGCTGTGAAACAGTCATCACTACACTACGAAACACAACAATCACTACACTATTAATCAGAAACATCACTGTAGTACGAAACGCAATCATCACTACACTACGAAACACAACAATCACTACACTATTAATCAGAAACATCACTGTAGTACGAAACGCAATCATCACTACACTACGAAACACAACAATCACTACACTATTAATGAGAAACATCACTGCAGTACGAAACACAGTCATCACTACACTACGAAACGCAACAATCACTACACTATTAATCAGAAACATCACTGCAGTACGAAACACAGTCATCACTACACTACGAAACGCAACAATCACTACACTATTAATCAGAAACATCACTGCAGTACGAAACACAGTCATCACTACACTACGAAACGCAACAATCACTACACTATTAATCAGAAACATCACTGCAGTACGAAACACAGTCATCACTACACTACGAAACGCAACAATCACTACACTATTAATCAGAAACATCACTGCAGTACGAAACACAGTCATCACTACACTACGAAACGCAACAATCACTACACTATTAATCAGAAACATCACTGCAGTACGAAACACAGTCATCACTACACTACGAAACGCAACAATCACTACACTATTAATCAGAAACATCACTGCAGTACGAAACACAGTCATCACTACACTACGAAACGCAACAATCACTACACTATTAATCAGAAACATCACTGCAGTACGAAACACAGTCATCACTACACTACGAAACGCAACAATCACTACACTATTAATCAGAAACATCACTGCAGTACGAAACACAGTCATCAATACACTATGAAACAGTCATCCACTCAACTTCTCGGAGATATCGTTGAACACACTACTTTTCCTCCGTAAGGTTGTAAACTTACGGATATTTTCTACTGAGTTGACTCCGTAATGTAGATGACCGGCATTGCTGAAGTCAGCTGTATAAATGGCGCCGTGTGAAGAAGCGGCAAAGCAGAGTTACTGCCTACTTCCATGATAGGAGGGCGGATGAGTGTTCGGAAACAGTTAACGAAATTTCTCCAATATCCTAGTGTATTATGGCGCTTAAGTTGGACTTATCCATTGTATCATTAGAATGTAAAATTAAAAAAGAAAATATATATATACGGTTATTGACTGGTTCTATCTCCGCCTTCGCTTAATACAAAAATAGAAATGCCACGCCTTTTAGATGCGGTGCATAAAGTTAATCCTCATCAGTAGGCCGTGAAGATTAGTTTAACAGAGTAGGCTTTCCTCCTTTGTGTGTTACCTGAGAACGGCCATCGAGCCCGTTTCCTTGAAATTAATTTCCTTCATTAGCGTGCCTGCCGACAGCTAACGCCTGAAACAGACGGAGAAAGTGTCTTTCAGTGAGAGCGTTTTTGCTAAGAGACATCCAGATGCCCCTTACATCGACGGAATACTTTGCTAAGTCTTAATGCATTCCCTTCACTAATTTTCCTTCTGCGCACACAAACATAAGCAGTGTTTATAATGTAAGGTTAATTAAGAATGACGCCGTGTAGTCCAGTGTAAGTTCACTGGCGTTGGTACGTTCCTCCGAAACGTTGGTGAACTTTACCGGACTGCACGGCGTCATATCCCGGAAGTTAGCAGCCTCCATAGTCACCGCTGTAAGAACCTCAAACCCAGCGAAAGACGTTTTGTTTTGTCCTCAGTGGCAATAATAAGAAAGCGTGGAGATGCGTTCTCGAATGAAGTGTTCTAAAATTGTCATTAGAACGTCGAGTGTCGAATTGTAAAGATATGTATTATTATTATTATTATTATTATTATTATTATTATTAGAGTCAGTATAGTTCAGTCGATACAAAGACGGGCCGCAAGCTGGACGGCCCGAGTTAGATTCCCGGCAACGCAACGTTTTTCTCT